CCGACACATTCCACTTTGCGACATCCAAACATGAGTAACTGTATACCAGATATCACAGACAACTGCTTACACGAGATAACTCGCGTGCGGAGCTACAAAGATGAGCATGAAAAATATATACGCTATTCTAAAAATTGCTCACCTTTTCTGAGAAAACAATCAGAGGCGAAGGTAAATCAAAGTTATCGCCTTGAAAAGGCGTAAGCACAGATGATTTGCTAATAAGTGCAGAAGCTTGCTCAAGCGTGTATACCTTTAATATAAGAAACAGACAGTATGACAAGTACAATATTGTATATTACTCATCAGACTGAATTAGAAGAAGAGATAAAATCTCAGAAAAAGTCCAAGATGAAAGCCTTTTACCTTTCTCTTTCCTCTATAATAGCAAATATTTGGATAATGTGCAGTTATCAGAAGCGACAACAGCAAGTCATAATCACAGTCAGGTGCAGTAGAACCATCCATGAACAGTTCGCCAGCGAATCCACATTGATTGGTAAGAACATCAATCAGCTGGTATTTGGCTCCCCTGGAAGAATACTTACATGAATAGGCAAATCTGATGAAAAAACCTCCAAGAATAACAAAAACGCATGAAATGGTAAAGGAATTTCCTAAAAAGTTACTCAAAAAGCAGCTAGAATTCTGCAAGCAATCAATCTTGAAGGGAAATCTCAGCATAGAGAAAACTCACGCGCTCATTTTCAGTATTGTCTGACTTAATGAGACTCTATTGCATAGTGACAGCTCTGCATTTGTACCCATCTCGGTTGCATGTTGAAACGCTTGATTCACGGCAATCTAAAGATTAGCATGTGATTCAAACTTGAGACAAGGCTTTTAGGCTTTTTGCCCACCAGTGCAATATGATCCGACCAACGGTTACCAGCATAGGAACGTTGAGCTGAATTTAGGCGAGTATGCGTTCTCTCACGAGGGACGAACGGGGAAGAAAACGAGGACGCAGCCGCAATTTCACACATCAATGTACCAAGACTGGAACACATCACATTCTCATTCATGAAGTGCTCAACTCTATTGGTTTATACAATATTTAGTCCACACCCGAGGCATACTCCCAGCACGATTGTTTTTCCAAGAATTGGTTCAATGGGTAAACGGGCAAGAATACGGCCTAGCTCTGTTAACTCTAGATGTTTATCAAGAGCTCCCATATCTGAAACATAGAGATGAAAGATTTTTCATAAAATAATTGCAGATTACT